AGAAGAAGAAGAAGAAGAAGAAGAAGAAGAAGAAGAAGAAGAAGAAGAAGAAGAAGAAGAAGAAGAAGAAGAAGAAGAAGAAGAAGAAGAAGAAGAGGAAGAAGAGGAAGAAGAGGAAGAAGAGGAAGAAAGAAAGAAAAGTATTTTTCTGATGGGGTAATATTTGAGTAGAAATCTGGACTACATGGCAAGTAAATGTTGCTACAGGTCTCACTATGCAGACCTTGTATCAAAAAAATAAAAAAATCAAACTTGTAGTGATCTCCTGTCTCAGCCTCCCCAGAGCTGGGATTACAGGTGTGCTCTACCACACCCAGTTCGGGGTAGGTATGGCATATGGTACAGGGGATCAATTGTGGGTCTTTGAGCTTGCCAGGCAGCCTCTTAGACCACTGAGCTATCTACCCAGACCTGGACCTTTCTATGGAATAACAAGGTCAGCCTGGATAGAGGCTCCTCAATGGGGGATGGGGGGAGTATATGGCAGGGGAGATACCATGATCATGAAGCTGATTTTCCCAGGGCGTGGCTTATCCATTGTACTCTGGATATGCTGGCCCCTGCAATTTTACTAAATGTGGGAAACTTGATTTTATATTTTGTGATAGTAGAGGGCTGCATTTGCTTTCCCCCTGAGGGGGAGGTTCTTGCTGCTTGCTGCCTGCTGCATTTGCTACTTTCCACCTACAATGCCATGAACTCATTTACCTCCTCTGCAGTGCCTTTCCACCATACCATTCTCCTTTGGAACCAGCTGATTATGAACTAGAATCTCTACAACCTGTGAGACAAAATGAACTTTTGTTCCTCTGTCAAAAAATAAATTAATTAATTAAATAAAATGATACCCATCCTTCACCATGATTTTGTTTTGTTTTTGTAGTGATCTTTGGATTATGTGGGAAACTTCCTGATATCTCTTTTCTTTTGTCTACCAAAAGCTACAGAAGTTATTGTTAGGGCAAGTAGAATTTAGCCAGGCTTTTCGAGCCTTGAATGTGTATGACTTTCCAAAGATCTAAGGGACAAGTGTTCATTCAAAACAAAGTCATTCTACATCCTGAATGTCTTCAAACCCCTCAGATTAGTTTTAGTAGCTTCTTCTCATTTCCATTTGGAGGTTTTATGGATTTAAATCCAAAAGAAAACAAAACAAAATTTTTTAAAAATCCTACGACCTTATTTTTAAAAAAGTTGAAATCTTAAATCTTCTCAATCAATAGCTCATCTGATCAACAATTCCTCTATTTAATGATTCTTAAAATTTACCATTTAGAGTATGTTCCTTCTTTAGAAAACATGCCAAGCACCATCTATGCGCATGGAGCATTTAGACAAGAACTTACATCCAGGTTCATGAGATCTAAGTAACTCTATTCCTCAAGGCATACCATTCTCTGGAGTTATTTTTGTTGTAAGAACATTGTTTTGATTGTATTATGATCTTCGTTCTTACTTTGTTTATAGAACAAAACTCAGATTCTTCAGAATAGCCCAAAAGGCTTTACACTCTAGCCCTAGCCTAGCTTCTACATTTGGCTTCCACCTCTTCTTTCCTCATACTGCTTATGTTTAAGCCTGCTAATTCTCACCTCTGGCAAATCTGTGACTCTCTTAGGGAGCCATGGAAAACACTAATGTGAGTTTCCCATCCTAGAACAATTAAGTCAACATCTCTGAGAGTGTGGGCTATAAAATAATAATTTGAGATTAGTCTAGTGTACATGAGGCCATATAGTTATTAAAATACCACTACTGGATATTGTTATGTCTATTGGCAAGTTAGCCTAAATTTCAATACTGATTCAAAAAGAGAATAAATCCAATTAAAATCACCTTACAAAAAGGAAGCAATAATCAATATGCTAAATGCTACTGATAAGATGAGGACCAAGAATTAATTTTCAGGTTTTAGAATGAATAATTAATGTGGGTACTACTTATGATACAGAAAGGAAATATAGTATGATGGCTAGCACTGTGGAATATAGAAGCATTAGGCTAGATTTTTAATTCCAAACTACTTATTAACTACCTTGCATGTTGCTGTGGGGATTAGGTTAGTCAGCAAATAGTTTTCTAAAGTGCCATTATAGATGCCTGGAACGTAGTATTATATTACTGCAAGTTATTACTAGTAGTACTTTTCATAAACAGTTTAACTAGAGGGTAGAATAAAAACTACTTTGAAATGCATATGAGAGATTTGGAGGATAGAAAAGAGTCTACGTATTCTTTTGAGGAATATTACCATAATGGAAAGCAGAAAAATGATCTACTAGCTGGAGGGCAATATTAAAGCAAGAGCAAGTTTTAATTTTAAATATAAAGAAATAATAACATGTCTGCATGCTAATAAGAATGTCTTGGTAGAGAAAAAAATTAATGTAGGAGAAAGTTAATGGAATTATTTAAATGTACATCAGGAGGTGAACAACACATAAGAGCTGGTGAGAAAGTATGAAGATTTTCCTAGAGGGAGAGTTTATCAACTGAATAAGAAAGGAAAGATTGCAATTCCTAAGCAGTGGGGAGATGGGGAATGAGAGACAGGAGAAGATGTGGGTAAGTGGATAGATATGGGAGGAAAAGATGAGATTTATTTCCTAGCTGTTTTAATTTTCCAGTGGGATAGAAGCAGACTTTTTGGGGAGAGGAGATGCCAGGGATTAAACTCAGGACCTTGTGCTTGCCAAGCAGACGTTTATGCCGCTGAGCTATCTCCCCAGCATAGAAAGCAGACTTAGTGAACAAGAGAGGAGTTGCTGTTGGTATGAGGTAAGACTCAGTGACATGAAATGAAGACTCAGAAGAAGGCTGCATCTGCTCTGCAGGGCTATATGAGGATTTCCAAACAGTATTTTTCTTAAATTTTATTTATTTATTTATTTATTTATTTATTTATTTGCAGTGCTGGGGATTGAACTCAGGACCTTGTGCTTGCCAGGCAAGCATTTATGCCACTGAGCTATATTCCCAGCCCCTCCAAGCAGTTTTGAAAGTCCTCTAAATATTTAAGAATATAGACTTAACGTGTGTGTTCCTTTTGTCTCAGCAACAGATTTGAGCTAAGTCTGTGTTTTGCAATTTTGCAAAAGTTTGAGAGAAACATATAGAGGAATTGTGAGCAGGTACACAGGAATAATTATAATGGGTTTTATGTCAGGGACTGTGGGAAGGAAATGAGTTATAGATTTAGATAGGGTTCAAAGTCAGTGGAAACTTGAATTTCAAATGGTTTAATTCATGTGTTTCTTTGTACTCTCCCTTGTATCACATACAACTTAACTCACAGTAAATTCTGAAAAGTTGTACGTGAGGATGAGCCCTCCCAACCACTCATCCCTCCTCTTCACTGTGACCTTCTCTGGAAACACTCATTGAGTCTCAGAGCCTCCGTTGACCACTCCTGGAATTTACCTTGGTATCACCCTTTGATTATTAATTAGTCCAGTAAAATCACTCAATTATCTATCAGAATCATCAGATCAGGTTTAGCTGTAAACTACCTGAGGGAAAAAACCGCTTGATTTCACATGGAAAAGTTAGCATTTAAAAAGTATGTTGGTGTGTCCATGAAAACATCTCTGAGGGAATCAATAAGCAAGTCCTCTTGTGTACTAATCAGAACAGTGACCTCCAATATTATCCACATCCTGATCTCCAGAACCACAGATTATGGTAGTTTCTATGGCAAGAAGGACTTCACATATTTTATTTAATGAGATTATCTTAAACTGTCTGAATGGATTCAATGCAATCATATGACTCTGAGAAGAAGGGGACAATAAGAGATGTGAGGATGCAAATAAAGACTAGACAGATGCAACTGATCATGAAAGAAAAGGACACTGGCCAAGAGCTAGTGGCAGCTTTTTGAAACTAAAGAAATCAAGGAAAATAAACTTCTCTAGCTCCAAGAGACAACACAGCTTCACTGGTATGTTGAGTTTAGCCTTTTAAGATTCGTTTCAGACTTCTGAGTTCCAAAACTGTGCTCTTTTAGAACTCTCTATGGTCACCTCCTAGAGAAACCCCAGGAAATGGTAAACAGATGAACTAAACTGATAATTCCTTGGACGGTTAAAATGGACTCTTCTCTACATTACAGCTTAATAATCCCAACCAGATATCAACATAAGGAAGGAATTTCCAACTCCCATATAGGCACTGAGACAACTTCCTTTTGCCTTTGATTACATCATCAATTGATCTTCAAGAATTAAATGAATTTCACTATAATGATAGAGAAGTGTAACAGTTATATCTTCATGCCATGTGTGATTATAAGATAGTAACGAAAGCCTTCGCGTTATAGACATCTTTCATTTCAGTTGTAGATAGGATTAGATGCATTTCTACCTTTGTGCACATTATAGCAATTTTTTATGTGACTTAGTCAGAGAAATCATTTGGCAAATGGAATGCAGGTAGATTCAAATATGAGAAAGTATTGGCAACCTTCTAATAACTTTTTGCACAGTCAGTTGTGAAAGTGACTTACAGTGACAAAACATATTAGACACACTGAAATATGTAAGTTTCCCGGACATATCATGAATTGTAAGGCGATGAGTATTTTATTTTTGATGCAGCTAAATACATCTGCAGGTTGATGCTCCTCATAAGTAATAATCTGAAGTGCCTATCAGAGGACACTGCTAGGTTATTTACAGAGCAAAAGCTAACCCAATAACCCAATGTGTCACCATTTTATGCAGAAGTAAAGTGAATCTGGCAGCAGGAATAATGAAATGATATAAGCCACACGTTTGAAATCTTACATTCTATGTAAAAAAAAATCTCTTAGAAACTATTTTAAGTGCATCTATATGTTTACTGAAATAGAACTCATATAATCTGTATAGGTGAGCAGCCAAAGGGCTGTCTGTCTCTGTATGAGACTCTGTGGTGACTCCAATCAAGGCACCCCCATATGTGTCTATGACTCTCTTATCTTCCAGCCCTCATCCTCACAATGGCTTGTTTTGGCTTTCTCTGTTATGATTTGCTGTTTTGCTGCCTTTTACTGCCATGAACTCCTTCTTTCTTCAATGTGCCACTCTGCTTTGGAGCCAAATGAGTATGGACTGAAAACTCCACAAACTGTCAGCTAAACAAACCTTTACTTCCTTAATATGGGTGTTCAATAGTTGATCCCTGCAATGAGAATAAAGTAATGGAGACATTCTCTGTCTCAGTTTCTCCAAAACAAATTTAATTTGGCCCACAGACTACATCACAGGTCTGCTATAGATGCCATATTTGACTAATTATTATGTAAATTAAGTAAAAATCTTTTTCTCTTATGTTTGATCTACAGCTTCTGATTATTTTTAACTTCCTAACCCTTTTGAAATCCTGCCAGTTTTAAAAATTTGTACTATCTTCACAACTAATCTGTATTTTTATATAATTACTAATATTGCTATATTGAACGATGATTTCTTAGTAGGAGATCATGAATGTTCTGGATAAAAAGCCTGGTGAAATAGCATATTGCATACCCAAGTGAGCCAAATAAATAATTTATCTTTCTGAATTTCCTCCTGTATAAAAAGAAATATTAAAGTATTTCGAGAGAAATAGCAACTTATCACAAAGAGGGAAGGAAGAAGATAAAACATGTAAAAA